CATTTCTTAGATATCATTAAGAAATAAATAATTAAAAAATTTAAAAATGTTATTAATATAGGCCTTAAACAATGGGTTTCATATATAATGTCAGCAGACCCTGGTTGTCAGGAAATCCAGAAGGCCCCTGATATGGTCTGGCTGTGTCCCCACCCAAATCTCATGAGTTGTAGCTTCCAAAACTCCCACATGTTGTGGGAGGGACCTGGTAGGAGGTAATAGAATCATGGGAGTGGGTTTCTTCTGTGTTGTTCTGGTGACAGTGAATAAGTATCATGAGATCTGATGGTTTTATAAATGAGAGTTCCCCTGCACAAGCTTTCTTGCTTGCCACCATGTAAGACGTGACTTTGCTCCTCATTAGCCTTCAGCCATGATTGTGAGGCCTCCCTAGTCATGTGGAACTGTGAATCCATTAAAGCTCTTTCCTTTCTACTCGGTCTCAGGTATATCTTAATCAGAAGCATGAGAACAGACTAATATAGCTCTGAACGTTGCATGAACTATGTGAACATGTTTATTTTTCTAGGAGTGGACCTAGCTTTCATCAGATTTTCAAAAGGTGTTATGGCCTCCAAAAAACTTAGCACCACTGTACAATTTATTCAAAATAATACCGCTCAGGCTGAAAGGAATGGATTTTTTTTTAATAAAATGAATGAGCCCTTTGGGGCCTCTGATTCTACCCATGTTCATGATTATCTTGAGATCACATTGTGAAAAAGTCTGTTTACCATCATTCTCATTTTACAGTTTAGCAAACTGAATTCCTAAGAAACTAAAGTGAATATTCCACCTAAGGAAAAATGATAGGTTAGTAGGTTAGAAACACAGACAAGCAGGTTAACCTGCTGCTCCCAGTAACGACTGCCTCCCCCGTTTGCACCTGCCAGGCCGTGAGTAAACACAATGGTCCAAGCCCTGTGGTGGGCACATGACATAGATGACTTGTTCAAGCATCATAAGGATTCTGTAAGACACTGTCTTATTTTTTATTTTTTTGGAGCTTTTTAAAATTTTTATGTAAATGGAAGGATATTTTGTATACTTATTTTTTTTTTCCTTTTTCCATTTGAGGAAACCAAGGCATAGAAAAGCTCAAGGGACTGCCAAAGACCACAGCCCTGATAAGCGTCAGAGATGAAATCTGATGTCAGGTCTGCCTGCCTCCCGAGTTCTATGCTGGGACATACTCTAACGCTCGGATCCTCAGAGGAGAAAATGTCAGGGACAGTTTCTTAGACATCTTTGTGCTCTCCACAGGGCCTTGCCGTGCTTTGCATGGAAGGCACTCAATAAATATTTGTTGGATGAAGAAACCTGGTCTTAGGCTCCAATTCTGCCATGGACTTAGTGACTCAGTCTCCTGCAACTTGGAGCTGCAGGTGGTTACTCAGCTGGGCAACTTCAGGGAACATTTGAAATCAATTATGGGTGAGGAGGAACCTATTAAAATCTTCTCTTTTGTGTATGTTGGGGTTGAAAGAGAGGAAAGGAAGTTGAGAAGGAGGGAAAGGAACAGGATGGTTTCAAGGTTGGGTGCTGGAGCTTAAAATTACACACCCAGATGGGACAGCATTTGGCTTACGTTCAGTACTCAGTTCCAGTGGCCCAAACAAATGGGCTCCTGACCTCAGTCTACTCCTAGGTGGCCACATGGCCCTGAGCTGCCAGGCCCCCTGACTAGCTACTCTTATGGAATGACTCTACCATGGGGCAGTTGGACACAGTCCTCTCCTGTGCCTTGGCTGCTCTGTCTCAGCTATGAGAAATAGGTGACTTCGCTGCAGGGACCCAGGTACCATATAGTCCCCCTTCAAGGGCCAGAGAGACTTTCAGCACTGAAAGCCTGCGAGCGCCGTGTTGTCCTCAACTCCAAACAAATGTATTCTGGCAATTCATTCTGGAATTCAACTTTCTATTTTGGAAGAATGTGGGAGTTTGGAGTAAGGGGGTGGGGGGAGAGGAGTAACTTTAGTTGATTTTCTTTTCTTTACTAGTTGCTAAAGTGCAACTTAGTCACAACCCCAAAAAATGCCACTTTTGCCCTTTCACATAAGCCCCACAGAAAAACACTCGCATAAAGCTGACCCCAAGGGATGCCTATGAACAACATTCTGGGAGAGGACAATTAAATGCATGCAGTCCAGAGCCAGGGCAGGACAGTCCTCCAAGAAACCAGAGACATTCCCCACTACGTGGCTGCCTACTCTCCTGTGAATGAGACAACACTGCCACCTAGTGTTCTGTGTAGAAAGTATCCTCTAAGACCCCTGCATCTGGGTCTGGGGAAGGGGATGGTCCTCTGTAAATTGCTGTGGCTGCATTGCTTGAAGTCTCCGTTGAAGAGAAAATGCCCTCAAGTAGGTAGATTAAGGATTGGGAAACTGGGTTTAAGTTGAGTAGGCAGAAGCTAAGCTTTGAGAGCTGTTGAAAAAGTGTAGGGGCCAAGTCTCGCAGCACCTTGGATCATTCACTGTGGAGCAGCAGAACTGCTGAATTGTATGTGGATCCCAGGGACATGATTCTATTGTCATTCTGCACAGGTGAAGGCCAGCCACCCTGAGAATAGACAATGACTGGCTCGGGGGCCAGTACTGTACGGTAAGAGAAAGAAGATAGGCTGGTCTGTCCATAGGCATGAGTTGATTAGGGCAAATGCCTTTGGAAGCATTATGGTTCTCAGGCATGGAGACCGCAGGTGAAATGTAAGCAGCTAAGCACAGTGAGTACACAAGGATGCCCAAGCCCTCAAGAGCCCTGTTGCTAGAATCCTGGAGAATGAAACCATGCTCCCAACCCCCATCTTTCCCAGATCTTTACCCTAAATCTTTACTGAGTATTTTCTGATGTACAGAAATCTAAAGAAAAATATAGAGTGGTAGGTGGAGAAAAGATAGCCCTGGGCATTCCCTGCCCTCAACCTTTCTGATGTAGACCTAAGTGGGGAAATACTAGTACACCACAAGGGCCACTTTGATCTGAAGAGAAGGAAAAGTCAGAAGCCGTATAGTCTACAAAAGATTCCCTGCCCAATTTTACATGCTTAAGGAGGTTAAAAGAGTTCAGATGGACACTCTGGAGAAGAATCTGTGTGCTGTGGCAGCATTGGCAGTGATTGGTGGCAGGGGACAGGTGGGCAAGGGAAAGAGATGGCCTGGAATGGGGATGTGGGAGGTGCTACAGGAAATGCTGTAACTGGAATCAAGTTATGACACTGTTTTCCTCTATGCAGAGCATCAGACAGGACACAAGAGGAACAGGACAGGGGTCAAGTTTCCCCAGGTTTGGGCTCTAGTAACCCAAAGAGGTAGCCCCTTAGAGCCTCCTGCATCGATTCCTGTTGGATTTTTCTCTCATACTTTTCAGCCAGGGAATTAATCCCAGGTCCTTACTTTGCTACTGCAAGAGGAGGGGTAAGCGGAGTCCTGGGTCTTAGTCTAGACTGCAAGCACACAGTTTCCCTAACAGATGGGTACTAGGAAGCAAGATTAAGCATCAAGAAGATGTCATCTGGGAGAAACTGTGGAGCTGCCAACTCTGATCAGATAATCATCTCATTATTTCTTCCATTTGGCCCCAGAATAAGGATTTCCTTCTACTCTTTCTCTTCCCCGACTTAACTTAGAGTCCAACCCTTTTTCTCCCCTTTCCCCACCCCCTCTCCCACTCAAAAATAAAATACAGCAAAACCACAAGATTGAGAATGCTGAGTGTCTGGGAATCTCAGCTTCCAAAGGAGAAATGACAGCCAAAGAGGGGGAGACAGAGTGTCCGGAAGGGGTGTTCCAGCAACACCCCCTTGAAAGAGGCTCCCTCCTTGCCGACTTCTTTCCCTAGTCTGAAACTTACTTGCAGGCATCCAGTAACCTGACATTTTTTTCTTAATTTGGAAAGTTGTCACGTGATTCAGTTGTTCTGGAGTTCTATTCCCAGCCTGCCTCGCATGCCTTTTATTGCCTCAGTTTTCTCATCAATACAATGGGACTGGAAAACATGCAAGAGTATTGTGGATAATCCAAATTAAGCAGATTATATGGCTCTACTATGCACCTTGCTTTGTGTTACGTTCTGTCACGGGGCATTCAAAAGGATAATAAGGTACTAAGTGATGAAATATCACCTCTAATCCATGAACTCTTGCTCCATCCCAACCTCCCCAGGAAGGCAACAGGAAACAGTTACTCTTAACCTCATTTTTCTATCTTTCTGGGTGACTTTCTATGAAAACCAAGATCTGTGTATAGGAGAAAACAAATGTGGCTCATGTTCCCAGACAAGACAAGTGCTCCTGATCAACACCGTGGAGTTACACAAGGTTTCATTTTTTAGGTCCTTCTTACAACAACAGTCAGGCCTAGGGGTCGGGATCTTGGCTTGTAAATGCTCACTTTTTCCAGGGGACCCTACTGTTTCTGGGCTGGACACATGATTGCTGGGACAAAATGAAGGGAACTCCAGGACCTGGACCAGATGGTGCCTTTCTGCCAAGATCCAGGGCACTCAGAGAAAAGGAAACCAGGCAGGACTTGATGGCTGCGTACCTGGCAGCCTTGTTTCCTTATTGCCTGGACCAGCCCAGGCATAACCCATTGCTCAAGTCCTTGGATTCTCATCTGCCTTCAGGGTTGCCTGAGTATCTCATCTTGGACTATCAGAAATGGAGTGTGACACCCCTTCTCCCTTACCAAAGAACCAAGGAGATCCATCCATTTAAAGAGAGGTAAGAGAGCCAAAGTCTCCTGAGTGCAAGCACAATGTATAAAAGGACATGAGATCAATACAAGGTACAGAGGCTGATATGGCTACAGTATATCCTCTTTGATGGTGTCTGGAATCCTGCTGTGCTGATGAATAAAGGCCCTTCCCCTCTTCCTGGCTAGCCCTTTCTGGCTTTCGTGTTGGGTCTCCTTCCCATCCTTGATCCCTAGGTCTAACTCATTAGAAATAAAGCCAGCCATACCCTCAGGATCTCGGAAAGACCAGGAGAGGGGTGTTACCTGCAATGATGGCTGGGTTGTTCTGTCCTCCCTCCGGTTTAACCCAGGTTTCAACCGTGAACGCCTCCCGGGGAATCTCAGCCAGCACTTCTGGACGCAGCAGCAGCCGCTCCCGCCTCCCAGAGAAGTATAAGATGGGCAGTCCTACTTGGGAGTTGAAGGTCTCTGCTTCCCGGTAGGAGTCCTCTCTACCATTTTGGGTTCCGTCCTCTGGCGGACTCTTTCTGACCCTGTGCTTAAGGGAATGCTTGGACCAAGGTGTGTCTTCCTTCTGCCTCTTCCACACTTGGCGATGCTGCCTGGACTTGGCCCAGACCCTCCTTTGGGTCTCTGGTTTGGGTTCCTTCAGGGTTGCGAAGATGGTGGTGGTAGTGGTGGCAGCCATGGCCGAAACTTTCTGAGTCCCAGCCCCACCTAGAGACTTCTTGGATCCTTGATTTTCAAGATAAGTGTCACCATCTCCCAACAGCTCAGATTGCCCAACAGGACCATCCCCTACCCACGGGGCAGCTGGCTGTTCGGCTGCACTCCTCGGTCCTGCTGGATTTTCAGTCAGGTCTTGGGGAACAAGGCTCACAGCATTTCCTTCAGTGTCTGGTTTGCTGTGTCCTGTATGGTGGATTTCCTGCTCTCCCACAGGGTAGGGCCTTAGGTAGTTCCCAGCCCTGCTGGGGTAGACTCCAAAGAGGTGATGCTGTGGAGCAGCTCTGGGTTTTCGAACCTTGGCTCCCAGCCAACAATGTTCTCCTTCCAACAGCACCTGACTCAGGTGTTCCCTCTGAATCAAGGATTTCTTGTGTGTCCAGCCCAGCTCAGAGCTGGCAGAACAGAATGCCCACCCAGCCAAAACAGCCAGGCTTATTCTCAGGATCTTTAAGCACATCATACCTCCCACAGTTCTTTCTACAGAACCAGAAGTCAAGTTCTGGGTACCACACCAGAGTGATGGGCAGAAGAGAAAGGGGCAGCTAGCAATAGATTTGCAGTCACCAGGGAAACAGTTTTGTTCACAGACCAAACTTTTTCAAATAGCCTCAAGAATGCCTCTGCTGGCTACCTGCTGGCCACTCTGCCAGCGCGGCTTCTATGCCTTCCTGCCACATGTGCTTCCTGCACGCTTCACCCTTGATATCTCTCTTCCTGCTCTATTTTAGTCCTTGCAGAATGAACTTAATTTCTCTTGGTTCCTTTGAATTTCCTCCCAGAGAGCTCAGGTTTCTTCCCCTCCGTTTCTTCTTCAACAACCCCTCCCCTCGGTGACACTAGAAGGGAGACCCACAGGCATGAGCCACGTCTCTCAAATATACATTCACAAGCACATACCCCTCACTATCTGAAGTCAGTCAAAATAAACTCATTCTCTAATTTTCATTTCTTTCTCTTCTTTCTTCCCTCGGAATTACCTTCTCTTTTTGTAGTCCTTAAGCCAAAATAAGTTCACCTTAAAACAAATTGCTAGAACTTTTACACAGAGACACACAATTTGAATCTTCTTATTTTTACATGCAAAAATAATCTAGGGGCACAAAAATCCAAGCTGGTACTTAACTTTCATTCTCCAGATGTCCTCAGCCAGGTCCCCATCCAACTTCCAGTCTGTCCGTGAAGGTTACAGTGTTTCCTTCAGTTTGGTGCTTGGGGTTGTTGGCTGTTGGTTTTTAATCCCTCATCCAACTTGTTGGTAGGTTGAAAGTCTCCGTAAAGTTATTTGGGTTGTCAGTTTGCTGTTCTAATAACCTTATGTGCCTGGGAGCTCTTGACTTCACCTTCTGGGAGTCTTGTGGGTTCCTGGGGAGATCAGGAAAAGAGCAAAAAGAAGAGCATAGACTTCAGGGGACCTGCTCCTTCCAGTCTCTCCTGCTCCCCTTGGCTCCCTTTCTCTGTGCCTGTAAATATCTTCTTGGTTTTTTTTTTTTTTTTTTTCATTTAAAGACAATGATGATGTCAAAGCTAGTAAGTTCAATGCATCACTCCACCTACTCCCTGTCCCCTCCTTCCTCCAGAAAACCTCCCCACCTCACCAAGGCACAGGGACAGACCCAGTAAACATCTCGGGCTTTCTCTTTCAGCAGCCGCAGCCTACACAATCAATAGCAAAGAATCAATACTGTTTTGGAGTACTCTTCTGTGTGTATTCTCCCTCTGTCTGTCTCTGTCTCTGTCTCTGTCTCTGTCTGTCTCTCTCTCTCTCTCTCTCTCTCTCTCTCTCTCTCTCTCTCTCACACACACACACACACACAGAGAGAGAGAGAGAGAGAGAGAGAGAGAGAGAGAGAGAGAGAGAGAGATGCGCTTGCTGTGAACACACCTACCTACTGCCTAATGAGCCCACACTAACCTTTTAGGGGTCCCTTGTGTCTTTCTTTTGTTTTGTCACAAACCTGTATTTTTTCTTACTTTGATCAAGAATTTGGGATTTAAAAGAACAATGCCCTAAACTCACTTTAAATCAGACATGGGAGAAAGGAGAAATCAATTATCCTGCTGTGAGAAGTATTAAATGGAAATGCCATGAATTTGTACTACACAGATCTTCTTTTTCTCTCAGAAGTTTCTCAATCTGAAGTTACTAAAAGTCACCATATGCTGAATGAGCAAATAAACAAATGACATCTTCAAAATAAGTGATTTACAAAAATGAACAGCTAGACCCAAGCAACCATGTTTCCAATTGATTTGAAATAGATGGAAAGGATGGGGAAGAAAATGTCAGGATTCTAACCTCTGCAGTGTTTGCCTAGATGCCTAGAAAAAGGCTTTCTAAAAGGGTCCCCATCCTCTAAGTGCATGTGCACATACACAAATACACATATGTATACATGGACACACACGGCTTGGTTCTGAATTCTTAGCACAAGTGAGGATGTCTGACCACAGGTGGTACAAAACAGTGGAGAAACACATTGGGTCCTTCATTCAAGTAACAAGGAAAATCACTTACACTTTTCAAGTCACTGCTTGTGTTGCCCACATCTAAAATACACAACCCACATACTGTGGAGTAAGATCACACTGCCTCTTCTGCCTTGAATCTCCTCATCATCTTCTAAACTCCTCTAACCCAGCTAAGAACTGACTTGTCCGCATTATAAATGCTGTATCTTAAACATCTCGTCCCCAGCATGTCCTGTTTCCTTATGTAGAATCCACTGGAGCCTCGATGCAAGTCCCCCAAGAAGATATCAATTCAGGCACGTGGACATTACTAAGCAGACATCCCTCAATCCTAGACTGCCCCCTTTTCCTTCCCTTCACTTTTGACTCAGTTTTCTCTCTCTCTCTCTCCTCTTTCTGAAGCAGCTCAAGAATAAAGATTAGGGGTTTGGGAAGGGGGATATAGAGAAAGCCAGGAAAGCAGAGGAGGTACACACACACACACACACACACACACACACACACACACACACACAGCAGAAAAGAAAGGAGGGAAGGAAGAGAGGAGGTTTAATTCAAGTAAAGGGAAGATACTGCTCAGGTAAGAAAAGAAGTAAACTTCCCCCTCTCACATGCCACCCCATAACCCTCAGAAAAAGGTTTCCTACCATTCATTTCAGGAAGGAGGGATAACACAGCCAGGAAGAAGAATTCCGCCTGCTTTTCTCCCCCTTTTAATGTGTAAGGGATCTTGCATCCCCTCTAGGTCTCTCCTGGCTCTCAGCTTCTAGTAATCCATTCATAAGGTTTCAAGAAGCTACACAGAACTCAAGCTTCCAGTTTAGTTTCTCTCTCTCTCTCCCTTCATTCCTTTGCTCACCACTCTCCTTCAGCTCTTGGCAGTCCCAAGTTAAAAAAAAAAAAAAATGTTGAACCATTTCTGTGTTTTCCTCCTGTTGTAACTTTTGCTGTGACATCATAACCCTGCCCACCAACACCCCACCTCCCTCTCCTTTCCATCCCACCCCTCATCAGCCCCATACCCGCAACACACACACCCCCACGGAGAAGAAGGGCTCCTGTCAGTTCCAATGTGTGAAAAACACAAAGCTACTAGAAGGTGCCCCCTCCCTCCCTCGGCCCCCTCCTCTCTTCCCCCTCCCTGCCTTACCCACCGCTCAGCCTCAGCTCTCTCAAGGCTTTTAACAATGATCCCATCTGTTTGACATGTGCGGAAAGGTGGGCTGGATTCAAATAATCTGTCAAGTGAATCAGATCACAAACACAGCAACCCCCTCCTCAATTCCATCACACATACACACCCCCGAGCAGAAGTGTGAGAGAAGTCAGACTTGAACAGCACCCACCCTCGATGCCAGGGAGAAAGACACCAAACATGCCAAGGGAAACCCAAATTTACATAGACATAAATTCTGTTGCTATTTGTTTATGACAAACACTCACACCCCAAGTCCCCTACCCCTCTTCCCCAAACCCTGCCACTCCGCGAGTGCACAGACTTGAAAGCTGGTCGAATCTGTTTTGAAATCTCCAAGGAGAGGGTTTTTCCCCCTTTTTTTCACTCCAAAGCACTATCTGTGGCGATCAGACTGAGCGGGGTTGCCAGCAAATGCAAGAGGCCCCTTCTAGGGTACAGGCTTTCAAACCAGCGAAGCTAGAGGGAATGGATTTAAGGACACACAGCAGGAGCTGGCTGGATTCATTTTATTTTGGGGGTAGTTGGGGGAGGAATATCATTTCTGAAATGCCCAAGGAATGAAGGGAGAGGATATGGATTTCTTAAACAGTTTTTGCAAGAGGAGCGGTGTCTTGTTTTGCAGGTAAATCTATAAGGCAAGAAATTGAAGCTTACAGATAAACAAGGACCAGGACGGAGAGGGAAAGGGAGGGAAAGGGAAAAGAGGAAAGCGAGGAGAGAGAGGAGAGGGGATGAGGAGATGGGAAAGGGGAGAGAGAAAAGAAGGGGAGAAGGACAGGCGGGGTTGGGGGGGAGAAAAGAGAAGAACGAAGGAGGCGTGAAGAAAGAGGGAAAGGGGAAAGGAGTGAGGTGAGGGGGAGGGGAGGGATGGAGGAGCAAAGGGGTGAAATGAAAGGGGGAGGGAAGGAGGACTAGGAAAAACAGAAGGTTCTGGGAGGAGAAAGAACTGAAAAAGAGAAGTAGAGAAGAGAAGAGGGAAGAATGAAACAGAGAGGAAGGAAAAATAGAAAGAGATGGTGAGACACAAAAATATGGAGACCAGGAAGGCAGTTAGATCCATGATGATTAAACATAAAGAAATCTCAGAGGCAGGTGAAGGAAGGAGATACTATAACAAGGGGTCGAGGTTAGGTTTTATGCACAGAAGACAAAGCACACACAGTAGGGGGACTGTCTCTTAGTGACTGGACATGTTTTTACAAAATCCGATTGCAAGGCTTCACCATTGTCTCTTTAAGGAAACTCCTCTTCCCTCCGCTTTCCCTCCCTGCATCTCTGCCTCCAACATCCACCTCCACCTTCCCTCTTTCACCTTTCATTTCCAGCGTATCTTCCCCTGGAGAATTCATGAGTAAAATTCAGATACCCGCTCCCCCAAATAAACCCATTCTTCATGATCCCTTCCTTTATTACTATCCACAGAGGTTCCTGGGTCCTCTTATCTAAAGATTGGGCTGTTTGTGATCATCTGTTGCAATTTCATTGCAACCCAAATTATATGATGTTTCCTTTAAGCCCCTGATGTCAAGAGTGTTTTGCTTGTATTTACTCCTATAGTAGGGCTGGTCAGCTTTCCTTAGCTTTGTCATCGTTATTATTAAAAGTCTTTGCACAAAGAGAGGAGCCAGTCCACGCTGTCATCCACCTGCAGCATACAGCATTAGCAGAGACACAGAGAGATACCCCTTAATATGGTCACTGATCCTCTCTGGCTTTTTGGTTCCAAAATTTGATCCCTTGAAGGAAAAGCTCAGCTGGGAGCTAGCCAGGGAGCGTAGTAATAAAAGCCTCCTAGAACATAACCAAATGCAGAATCTATATATAGAAGCCAGATCTGTTTTAGCTACTTGCAGTCTAAAATGACACCCGGAAACAAACATTTCAGCAATATGTTTATCGGAATCTTATTCAGCTAGTGCTGGAAACAAAAAGGAGCTTCTTTAAAGGATTTCTCTCTGCGGCTCAGGGTTGCTGCTTTCTGCTCCCCTTGCTCTGGCGCTCAGAGATGGGAGTCGGGCTCTATCGTTTGGGGTAACTTGAGATTCCTTCAGGGTAATCTACTACAGCCCTCTTTTTTTTATGGGTAAGTGAACAAGCACAGAGTCACACTATTAATGGTAGGGCCAGACATAACATCAGGTCTCCTAAATCCCAGCCCAGCTTTTTTGCCTTCTCTGGCTATGCACTGTCTTCACCTGTCTGGCTGGTTTGCCAGCCATTTGTCAACTAGATGGGAAGGCAGTATCGAAGACTCGCCTCCCAGGTTGCACATCCCGGCAAAAAATGCCCAGGAATATAGGCTGTTCATGTGTGTTCTATAACTCAGAATCACATAACACTCAGAAAGGAAATGTAAATCTGGATTTCACTCTCTTCCATTTGCATTTTGAGCCAAGACAAGCCCTATCTTCTTGTGGAACTGTTTTGTGCTCCGTATGTCAGATAATCATATTTTTTTCCAGAACACAATTGCCATTATAAATTATTAGCAGTGTTAATGGTCATGTTTTAAAAGCTACTTTCCATCCAGATAGATGAAAGAATATCGTAGACAGGTTAAGTTTCCCAACACCTCAGGGGAGCAGTATGGCGAAAATAATATGCCAGAGATCTATATGCCCTGGTGACAGTCCCTATTGGGTAAGTGTTTTCTGTAAGATTTTGAGCCTTGGAACCAGCTCGTGGAGCCCTTTGG